CATTTTCAAACAGATCATAACTGAAATTAAATCTTTAAATTATATGTTGATTTAAAAACTGTAAAAATCGGGACTATAATGAGTAGGATTAGTTAAACAAATACATCAAATCTTATATTCACTCGAATGATTGCGTATAAAATGAGATATTAAATTCCGATTTTACTGGAAAACAGTGAACATAAACGAAATTTATTTTATTCGGACTATTGCGCTCATCTTTGTTGCCATATTTATCAAAACATTTCGGCCGTTGTGCGCTCCGGCCTTCTTCAGGTGGTTGGAATGTCGAAATGAACCCTTTATTTCGCTCACTGGGATAGACTATTCTAGTTCCACGTGCCATGTCTAATGGATGTCAGTTATCTGTTATCTCATGCTAATTCCCATCTCCAAGTTCAGCACCGCCTTAACCAGGTATTGAACTCACATTCTTTGTGTCCTGTCACTGGATCGAATTAACGCCTTTATCCACTGTACCATGTGTCCTCAAGGACATCTGTGCATGAATTTACCAGTGCTCATATTGCAATTTTTGCTGTTATCCTTGCATGTTTTTACCAGAGCTCATATGCAGAGGTTTGGCGACTCTGAGAAGGAGAACTCTGAATAAAAACCTCGAGCTATGGGTTAAATAGCTTCACCTATCAGCAATTGGCCAAGCGTGATGAGCATGGCTACACCAGTGAAGAAATGATTAATCAAGGAGGGGTTCCTCTAAGGAGTAAGAAGGCCGTGGACCTCGATAGTTCGAATGAGCTTTTATCCCTGGTAACTTTTTAAAATTACAAGCAGAACAGAGCTAATATATTTTTAATGTTGATCATTATACTTATTTCTATATCATCATAAAAAATAGTACACGTTCACAATTCCAATATCCGAATAACATAACAATAATACAGGTCATATCAATCTATTTGTAATATTAAACGACTAATGACTAGCTTTAGTACCATCAACGTCATAATTTGTAATTTGAAAAAAATGTACGTAGATAAATGATTATGCAATATAAATGCATCAAAACTCAGAAATAAAGGAATTGTCAATGGTTCGAAATTAAGGCAAGTGTGACTGACAGAACAAGGCTATTATGATTAATGATAACTCATATATATATATATATATATATTAAAGTGAACATAGAAGTCAACACTTATGCAATCGTCAGGCCTGACGATTGCTATATAGCATGAAACAGACGATCGCCTCTAAGTGTTGACTTCTATGTTCACTTTTATATTTACACACGCTCTATCTCTGATATTGAGCACTTTATCCCATAAATATAGCACACCTTAAGACTATATTTCTTTATATATATATATTATATATATATCTTTTCAATGTTTGGATTCTCGATGGATGAGATTGGTATACTACAGATTCTTTGCGGCATTTATTACCCAACGGGCAATTTTCAAGGTTTCTACAATCCCGTAATTTTTCATTATGTTTGTCTAATTTTAATTTAGGGTTTTTATTCATTTGATTTTGGCATGCTTGTTTTTTCAGGATTTTATTATATTTTTTATGATTCTTTCTAGATTTTCAGTGCAGCTGTAACTTAATTTTAGGGCGTTTTATTAACGATCTTGCTAAGTTTGCTGTCAGTAGGAAAGTGATTTTTCAATTAAAGCTAGAAATTTTTGTCCTAGCTTATTGCTGACCATTTGGTTGAACGGGGGGGGGGGTGAGTATACCCTGAAAATTGCCCGTTGGATAATAAATGTTGCATAAAATCTTTGGTATACCAATGCCCAATCTCATCCAGCGAGAATCTTAACATTAAAAAGATATATATATATATATATATATATATATATATATATATATAGGATCCACGAAGAATGAATTTAAAATAAGGTGGAGACAACACAAAAGCTCCTTCAATAATATTAGAAATAGAAATCAGACATCCCTATCTAAATATATTTGGCATTTAAAAGAAACGAATAAAACACCAAAAGTAAAATAGAAAATAATAAATAGAACAAGAACTTGTAAATCCTGGGATGATCCATGACCTTTATGCCTACATGAAAAACTACACTTTCTTAAGTTTCTAAAAAACGAAAATTTATTAAATCAAAAACATGAGAACGGTTTTTTTGCCGATACCAACAAATATTCGCCTTAAATAATTAGCATAAAAAAAATTAAATTTCAAAATCTATAAACAAGTTCAAAAACACAACCCAGTCATAAGCTAAAAATCCCTTTAAGAAGTCGTCAACAAAAAACACTGTAGTTCAATACGACGTATTCATATACAAAGAATCGTTTTAGAAAAAATGTTTATGTATACAAGTACAAATTTAACGGCGAAACAAAAGCACCAAAAAACTTCTTGTCGTTGAAAAAGACCTCTTATGAAAATGATGGTTTTCTCCATATCCATAGAAACTAACATTATGATCGCGTGTGGAGGTTAGTGAATATCTTCACTGTGAAATTCACTGGGATTCACTTCTAGCTCAGCATTAACATTTGATTATTTACACGCCGCTGGCGAATCTTGTACGCTGTTCCCGTTATAAATATTATCGTTCCATTTCCAACCTTCGTTTTGTTTATTCTTATTCAGTAAACTTTTCCTAGGTTACAACACTTTCTAAAATCTTCTAATTCTCTTTCAATCCCAGTAGCTCCATGCGTCTTAGTGGCATTATCGCCTTGCTTTGGGGGAATCGATAACAATAAATAAATAAAAAGAACAGGATTCAATTAAACCAAAGATGATTGACGGTGCATTTAAATTTTTGTAGATTGTAGTTGACAGAAATGCGAGAAAAGGAACCATTAGAATAGAATTTATGATTATAATTTTAATAGTAAAAGGATGTGACCTAACTGACAATCTAGTACTAAGCTTAAATTCATGATGTCGAGGAATCGAAAACGAAATATCATCAAAACAATTGTCATGATAATATTTGTAGAAATATTATATAATAATGCGTTCGACATTATTAATATATAATAATTATATAGTGATACATTAAACATTATTAGTAATGCACATTATTTTGTTTTAAAGAACAATAATAATATACATTATTTCTAATACACACCAAACATCAATACAGATGTGTATAAAACTTTAATAATGGACAGAAACATTAACGAAATACATCTGAGATGACAATCAACAACTCAAAAATAAAAGTTTTACAGAAAATAATGGAAACTGTACAACAAGTAAGAAGATTAGTGATTCTGATGTTCTTATGGTGATAAAGACGAAAGATTTAGCATAAAATGAATGCTAGGAGTTTTGTAATCTGCGCAATCAAAATGGCTTCCTGAATGAATGCACATAATGATGTCATTATCAGTGGGATCACGTTGTTGATATGCGCCAGGCAAGAAAAGAGGAATGGATGCTTCAGTTTACTTTGAACACGCCTTTTTTGGCGAATCTTCAAATTCGACTCGGATTTTATTCATCTGATTAAAAACATGTTATCATTTTCCATTTATAATAAAATGATAAAAACCTAATAAATCAAGCCGTCGTTATATTTTGGCTCTGAATAATGATAGTGTGGAGTAATGTAATTCAAACGAAACATCTTAACACATTATTCATATGGTGAAAGCTACATTTTTCTCATTAATATTTGTAAATTAAAAAAAATACTGCAGTTTTAGCCCAAGATATGAACATAAAGCACATTAAAAATAGATACGCCTCTACAAAGCTTGTTTCTTTATCATCCACTAAAAAATTTAGCACTTACAAACGCAAAGGTCGTTTTAAGAAAAGATATTTGAACAGTAAATGGCATCACTTTCAAGTCACAAATAATCATAACATTCCTTTTAAAAGTTGAGAATAAATCTAAATGATGGTTAGAAAAATAGTGAACACATTCGTCCTTTTATTTTTTGACAAACTTTTTTTCTAATATATTCTCTTCGAAAAACTACTATTTTTTTCGAAATTGACAAAACGCCCACTCGTTTCAAAAGTCTTTTTAACGCGTACATGAGATCAAGAATCCCAAACTCATTCAATCGTTGTCTTTTTTTTTCAATGGTTAATGTTTCCGAATCTATATTGTGACAAAGAGGTCTGAAGAAAGGTTCAGTGAGCAACTTTTTTTTTTCATTATCTCATTGTAGTTGTCTAAAAAACTGAACTGATACAGCCACATTATTTATATTATTCGGACTATTGTCCTCATCTTTGTCGCCATATTTATTGCAACGTTTCGGCCGTTGTACGCTCCGGCCTTCTTCAGGTGGTTGGAATGTCGACATAATACCTCATCTCAGAAATATAAACAGATAGTGATACAACCACGTCTCCCGTGAAGGACTCACAAAATTTATCTTGCAAGAAACAGTTCCAGAAACACGCAGATTAGAAAGGCGAAGAAAAATATAGGAGAATAACATCTGAAAATGGGAGACATGGACCTGGCAAGGTCTCCAAGAGCGACCGGGGTGGGGTGGTGGTGTTACATCTTGGCACTAGATCCCAGATAAACCTTGAGAGGTCTTTTAGAATCCATTTTTATCAATTGATTGACCGATTCCTTTTCTACGTCTTGCAGGTTATTTAAAGCCAGAAAATGGAGAAGAAGTGGATTTATACCATTCCCAAAGGTGTTTGCGGATAAGGGAAAATCTTCTTTTGTGTACCGTGTCTCTTCATGATGAAGGCGATCATGGCTGTCCACTTCTTCCTTTTGGTTCTCAATAAGTTTTGCCTTTTTGCTATTTCTCTCAGATCCTGTTCTGCCATCCACTTGCTTAAGCTCGTTAAGTATATCACGCGTTGCTTTCCCTTGTTCCTCTTTTCCTCTATCCGCCATGTGAGTATCTTATTTTCCAAGCCTGCCTTTTGTGTCCCAGAAATTTTTGCTACCTCTTCCTGATGTTAAGTATAAGTTTTCTCTTTGAATGAATGCAAATGGGATTTGAACTCGGCTCTCTGATTAACAATTCCGAAACATTATCCACTGTATCATCCGCACATCAAAGTTAACATACAGTACCTGTTGTTCCCAAGAGGCCACTAGATACTAACCAGGCTCGACGTTGCTTAACTTCGGTGATCGCACGGGAACAGGGTTTTTCGACGGGATGACCAATTCCTGAACGAATAAGATCTTTTTTCCGTCACATGTAGGACACACTCCCTATTAAGCAGATCATTATATTTTCAGTTTATCAGTGAATAACGGTTATATATCTAAATATGTTTAATCACCCTGAAGGGTACAGTTACATTTTCAAATATCGTAGATATAAAGAATAATCAAACCTGGGTCTAATTTTTGTGATAGACGAAGCGAAGGTGAATCCATTCTAGACATGTTCTACAGTAAATAAAACAAAAACAAAATGGTCGTAATTTTAGATGACACTAAACTTCTTTTATGATCTCATTTGACATCTGTACTTCCAATTCTGTTTCCTCAACTCTGGACCCCATTTTTTTTTTTTTTTAAATAATTACTTTTCTTTTTGATTCCGTTAACTTAATTCATTTCCTTGCCTTTTATCCTGTTGTTCTTCACGCATGAGTTAAAACGTTTTCTTATTTGTGGATTAGGTTTAAATGATTAGAATGACTGACAGCTGGTTTAAAAATCAAAAGGTTGACTAAAATTACTGATCTGGTTATAAATTTAACTATAAACTAACAATACTATGATCATCCAGCTCACTAATATTGTTAACAGTTAGATACAGTTATCTTACGGAGTCCATTTTAATATAGTTCACAATGACGAATCGGCTGTACAAAAATCATAATATTTTGAAATCTAGACGGGAGGTGTGGCTGGAATGGGCATCATACCAATTACTATATATGGTTAAGCACTTCTTGATTGATTCCAGATATCTATTTGAAAATGTTACTGTGATGACCTAGTTCATAAAGAAAGTGGATTTATTTTATGCTAGAGAATTACGAGTGTATATATATATATATATATATATATATATATATATATATATATATATATATATATATAGAGAGAGAGAGAGAGAGAGAGAGAGTCAAACAAACCTACCAAGGTTTTACTTAAGCGGACGTTAGGGAAAGCTGGCAAAAGAAGTATTGAGCACTTTTTTAGTTAGTTGATTACTCGTATCGGGGTTTTTTTCTTTGGGTTTTGGACCTGTATGCTGTACGATTATTTTCGACAGACGTTCATGTTCCTAGCTCTTTCTTTTTTTAAAACCTTTTTTTTCCTTCGAAATTGATTTGACCATTAGCAAATCAGGAAACCGAAGGTTTTCCGAGATGAGTGTAGTTTATATATATATATGAAGAAATACAGTTTTAAGGTGTGCTATATTTATGGGATGAAGTGCTCAATATCAGAGATAGAGCGTATGTAATATAAATATATATATATATATATATATATATGATTAATATAAATAGAATTTTTCACTCAGCTGATTAATGTAATATTTAGCACCTCAACTACCTTTCAATCTCCTCGTCAGGAGTTTTCACCAATTGACTGCAGTTCTTTCTCATCTTATCTTTTTAAGTTTGATTATATATATATATATATATATATATATATATATATATATAATCGAGTCTAGAACAAGAATCCTATATATATATATATATATATATATAATCATCGAGTCTAGAACAAGAATCCTATATATATATATAGTGATTTTCTAAACGTAGCTTACATATGGCACAAGACAAAAAGTATGGAGCACCCAGCGAAGATAGAACTATTCAATCGTAATTGTTCTAGCGAGACAAGACTGCAAACCATTACACCACAATTATAATTAATGAATTTAAGCGCAGGACTAGATTGGCCGCAAAGTTTCAGAATTTCTCTGCTAACAATTTCTTCTCTCGCACTTCTCGCTTGTGGAACTCTCTTGCGGTTTCTTGCTTCCCAGTCAAGTTTAATTTTGAAAAATTGAAATGCAATGTCAATCGTTATCTTTTGTTTTCTCAATTCCAGTTCTTTTATTGTTCTCTCTCCTTAATAATCTTTTACCCATGTTCTCTCACACTCGTTAACAACTTGCGTCTTAGTAGCTTTATTGCCTTACTTTGGCGTGGACTGATTAAGAAAATGAAACAATCAATGTAATTTTTAATCCGACATTATTGTTATATTACTGTTAGGTTTATGTCAATAAGAAATAACAATGGATTTATAAGATCCATTGATTGCTTCAAATCACATTATTTTCTTACCCGAGACGTAAGCACGGTTAGATATAGACTTCGAAATGTACCAACGAGAAATGCGAATTTCTTTAAACTTCTTGGCAAGGTACACTTGAATTGAAAGTGGTTTCTCAGAATATAGTTTCAACACCTGTCAGGAGTTGCATTTTCTTTGGTAAGACTTTGGATCTCTAGGCTGGTAGACATTGAATTTACTGATAAAAAAAGACAAAAACATATGTACCCGCTATTATATCTAAAACGACAAATGTAAATGTTCTCGATAGTAATTAACGTAGAAAAACTAAAATTCAATCTATTTATTTACCGTTTAGATATTTCTGGGCACCTCGAGGCGATGTAATAGTTAGCAAGCTGGTCTCGCTAGAACATTTACGACTGAGTAGTGAGTTCGATCCTCACTGGGTGTCCCATACTTTCGGCCTCGTGCCACATCTAAGCAACGCTTGAAAAAAATCACTATACCGTTTAGATATTTGTTGGTTGAACCAATGAAAAAAGAGCAACTGAATTCATCATTGAATGACAAAAAAAGTTGAAATCCGTTAACCCAACCATATCTTTCACGTTTGACATGAAATTTTCTTTGAATTTTTCCACATACCCATCTCATCTTAATTATTCATCACTCTTTTATCTTCCTTATTTCATTTTTCATCACCCATTTTTATTTTCCCTTCATTTTTTTTTTATACCCATGACAATCTTTTTTCCATCTTTTACTTTTCTTTTCTATTAATCTTTTTATCTAGCAGTTCAAGTTTTGCGACTTTTTCAAGTCACTTTCTATTGGCGGCTTTGAATATCTCTGTCAGATATTCCCTTTTCTTTTTCTCCGGACTACACCACACTGCCAGACATGTCTATCTCTTTTACATATCTTTTCTTCGCTCACATTTGTTTTGTTTTTTTTCTTTTTTCGGTTACTCTGAATGTGGAGTAGGGCTAATGGTTTAATTTGGACTATCAAACTGGTTATAATTATTCCCAGTCATACAATGTTTACTACATTAAATGACATCGCACACAAGCTGACTCGACGGATGAATCGATTTTATGACAGTTAAAAATTCATATTTGGACCTCGGCTTAAATAAACGCTCCGGTTGACCGTTGAACTTTAATGGCGTTCTGATTGATTGCTTATTATGCATTAACTGTTGCATATGGTATGATATTCATTTATTTAGCATGCATTTTCATTTCATAGTTTATGTATGTTCTGATATCACAGATAGGATTTATTAAATAAATATGTTAAAGCTTTCAATTGACTTTGACGATTCCATTATATTATTATAAAGTATGGTTTGCGGGAGGACAGTGAATTAAACATTAATTGCGATGGTTATTTTTATTTTTCAGCGCCGACTGAATTAGGAGTCAATATATGGAGTCAAGATTTCAGGGTTTTTTTTATATCAATGTCCATTAATTCTCTCTCTCTCTCTTTATTTAGGTTTAATTATCCACCCCCAACAATAAATAAATATTCTAATATTTAGTGATTAAAATTTATTTCAGCACTCTTTATGTTGTAAATGAGGAAAAAAGGAATTGTTAGAGGTCAGGAAGTAAGGTAAGAGTTTGTAACTGTTATATAGTTATAAAGTGTTGCTGTCGACCACTTGAGTTTGAACATAGATCGCCAATGAGCAAACACAGGCGATCCCATTACTGAATTAAGTAGACCACGTGACCATAAAGGAAACATATATATGGGAGGTAGCTTGTGTCTAATTGATCGCATTTCTATTTTGTCCTCTATTAATATTGGGTTCGTTATTTCTACTCTATCCTCTATTACTACTATATGGACCGCTATTCTCTACTCTATTCACTATACTATTTCTCTATTCGGATCACTGTACGGATTATTATTCGAGCGAGTATTATCGAGCAAATACTATTAGTGCGAGTGAAATTCGAAGGCGTCTGACACCAGTATTATTCAACGGCGTACTATAGTTGTATCTGCGATTACAAAGTCTCTACTATAATGAGCATTACGAAAGTGAAAACGAGTATTCGTTGACATCACAAATGTGGCAACGAGTGTTCGTTGATATCACAAAAGTAACACAACACAGTAGATATATCACTGCATTAATAATGGTTCTAGAATATAAAGGTATTAAAAAATTAATTATCACTGGTCCGAAATTAAGATACAACAAGACTATTATGATTAATGATAGTGTTTAACACATTTTTGAAAAAATAATTTCACCCCAATCAAGGAGATAATATCACTAGGACTTAAGGTGTTACTGGAAGAGAATGAGAAAACTTTAGTGAGAAGAAAGGACAATAAAAGAACAGCTCACAGGAAAACAAAAGATGGCGATTGACGTTGCATTTTAAATTATGAAGATTACAGACGGTAAAAGGAAGCAAGAAAAAATGAATCCCAGGAGGCAAACTGTACGAGAAAAACAACTGTTAGAATAGAAGTGTTGAAAATACATAGTTGGAATGAAATGTCAATCGCCATCTTATGTCTTTTTGAAACCTGTTCTTTTATTATCCTTTCTCATCACTAAAGTGTTCTCGTTCTCTTCCACTCCCAGTAAGCCCTTGAGTCTTTTTATCGTTTCATCCCAAGCAAGGCAGGGGGGGGGCTACAGAGTGTGAAAGTGAGAGAAAAGACTGGGTATAGTGGAGATTGAGAAAAGGATAAAAGATGGTCGGGGTTCAAGATGTTCAAGATGGCGATCGACATTGCATTTAAATTTTTGAAGATTAAAGTTATCAGGGAAGCAAGTAAAAGTAAGGAGTTCCATTGTCGGTAAATGCGAGAAAAAACTGTTGGGTGGTTACATTAAACTATTTCAACAATAAAAAGGGGAGGAGACCTAGATGCCAATCTAGTAGCACGCTTAAATTCATGTAGTCGGGGCA